TTGTGTGTGTGTGTGTGTGTGTGTGTGTGTGTGTGTGTGTGTGTGTGTGTGTGTGTGTTTTCCACATAATACTAAGGCAGGTATTTATTTATTTCGGACATCAACGGTAATTTACGGCTACATGTGTAGAACGTCATGCAGATTATTTTGTTTACAGTGGAGATGAGAATTGTGTGGGGCTGAGACAGACAGTCTGTCAGTTCTTCGAAATTCTCCTGTCATTGATTGCTTTTGAGGATTTATTTTACTGGGCTGCAGGCAAGATGGATGTTATGATAGTCCCTTGCCGACTATTTCCTGACGCTTTTTCCCCCTGACATAGAATCTAAAACAATAATAGATCTATGCAACCGCTGTCAGCACCAGGCCAAGGTAAGAAAAATCATAAATGAATGACTGACTTTTAGATTAGAATCTAGATCTAGATCTAGATTAGATATCTAGATCTAGATTCTAGATCTACTTGTGAAAGGTTTCCACCGGCGCCACCAGGGTGGCTTCAAGATCAATTAGATCTGAATCTAGATTCTAGATCTAGATCTAGATGTAAATTCTAGAGTCCAGATGACGATGTAAATACCACTACCAGACCTGCCACTCATCCCGATTTAGTCGGGATATCCCGATTTTTTGCTCCAAATCTCAAGCATCCTGATTTTCCCGATTTCAATCGCCTGTATCCCGATTTTTTGTCCCAGTCTGCTGTTGTGTCGGATTTTTATTAAAACGTACTCTGCTTTCTCCTTTATCGCGGGAAGCACTCGTTGAACTTTTTGTCAGTAGGAACTCGGAGCACTATTTCCCGAAATATCGATGCCGCAATTAGTAGTTGACTCACCCCAAGTTGTGTGTGATCTTTGCCCGCACTCAGAATTCTCAGATGATAGCCTGGTAACTGTTACAATTTGGGACATACAAATAATCGATAATAATAATATTCGTAGTTCCGCTGTTACTTTCAAAATAAGCCTTGTCCGAGGTCTGGTAACTGTGCGTTCACACCAAACACTCGGACGAGCGACTGTCTTTCTAACCCTTACACAACTACATGTAACTGCGCTGACAAGACTAACTTACGGCCGATGTCGTTGCTTTAGTCTGAACGCATTATGAGGGATAAGAGATTTGTTGGTACAATTGGTCGGTCGGCCGCTGTTGTTATCCAAGAGTACTAGAAGTGGAACGACTGTC